GTTTAAAAAGAAGTGTTAATATAATTATCTAAATTTGGACTAATGAAGGTGTTGCCCTATGCTGATTATTTTCTATCTCTGTTGAATGTTTTTGAGGTTTTATATACATTGTGTGGAGTCTTGGGCTATTTGTTGTGAAATTAATTGATTTGGTTGTATCTTTGGAATTGTTTGTGGCCATTGGGCAAATTGTAATATGAATTAATTTTGTTATGTTGCCGTGATAATTTCTCGTGTAAATTGTTGTGTTGTGTGAGTTATTATTTTGAGGATATAAGGGTGGCATTTCACCGTTGATATTATGTGGGTATAAGGGTGGCATTTCACCGTTGATATTATGTGGGTATAAGGGTGGCATTTTCACTGTTGTTGTGTTTGTTGAAATATTGTTTGGGCGGAACGATAAGGGTGGCTATAAGAGGGATAAGGGTGGCAATAGGAGCGATAAGGGTGGCTATTGATATTGTCAGGGCTGAGGGATAAGGGAGGCTATTATAGGAGTGATAAGGGTGGCTATTGATATTGTCAGGGCTGAGGGATAAGGGAGGCTATTATAGGAGTGATAAGGGTGGCTATAGGAGAGATAAGGGTGGCTCTTGTCAGGGACGATATGTGATGTTGTGGTGTTGATAATTTTCATGTGATTTTCTTGTGTTTATTTTTATACCTTGTGCAATTTGTCTTGTTGTTGGTAAATTGATAACAATCTGATTGATGTTGAAATTGGGAGCATGTGACTATTGACATGTGGATTATTAAATGAAATGTGGGCACGAGGTGCCGGGAGTAAATAATGAGGATATTGGCACATGAATTGTCCGTGCAGTTGTGGTATGAAATGAGGGCACGAGGTGCCGGGAAAATATGATGATTTAATTATGGGCACGAAGTGCCGTGGAGATATGTAAAATGGGTTGAGACTCGTTTTTACGAAAAATATGAAAATGGGCTGAGACCCGTATTTTTATGATTACGAAATGAGGTGTCACATGGTGACTTTTTAATTGAAGAATTACATTCAAAATATTTATTTGGAAGGATTTTTATTTAGAAAAAATTGTATTTGAAAGATATTTATTTGAGGAAATTATATTTGAAGAGATTTATTGAAAGAATTATATTTGAAAGATAATTATTTGAGAAAATTATATTTGAAAGTGAGTTATTTGAAAGAATTATATGTGAAAGACATTTATTTGAATAATTTGATTTAATTGGGTATACTTGTATTTATTATTTGTTGAGCGATATTAATGGTATTTCGTTGTCTTGCTATGCATATCAATGGTTGTTTTATGTTGCCCTTATTGTTATTTGTTCCTATTATTTTGTATATTATATTGCACAGGTTATTAGACTAGTAAGTGTCTTGACTGTACCTCGTCTCTACTCCATTGAGGTTAGTGTTGATACTTACTGGGTACCGTGACCGTGGTGTACTCATACTACACTTCTGCACATTTTTGTGCAGAGCCAGGTATTGGAGATATCAGACTCGGACAGATTTAGAGTGGGATCGCAAGGATTCAAGGTATAGTTGTTTGGTCGTCGTAGTTCCTTGGAATCCTTCCATTTTATTGTACTGTTATTTATTATTCAAACAGTATTGAGTATTCGATTCTTGAGATCATTTCATGTATTTAGTTAGAGTTCGTGACTCAGTACTACCAGTCTTAGGAGGTTGTTATATTTGTAATTATTTTCGCTGTTAGTTTCAATTTTTTTGTTTTTAAAAAATGGCTTGAATTGTAATGAAAATCGGCTTACTTAGTCTTAGAGACTAAGTGTCATCACGACACCTGTGGTGGAATTTTGGGTCGTGACAATGTGTTATGTATGAAGTGAGATTTTTGTATAGTCCATGTCATTGTACTTGTGTCTAGAACTTACCCGATATGGGAGTCGAAGTGAAATTTTAGGTGATAATCGGTTTGAAAAATAATTTTAGGCTATCTTTGTTCTTTTTGAGTTTAATGCTTATCACAAATAAAATATATCCCTAGTTAACTATTTTGAGCTTATAGACTTTTATTTGGCACTAACATTACAAGCCTAAAACCTCTTTTGTTCTAAATTGACATTGTTTTGATCCTTTTACCTCTTAAAGCACTTTAATTGTGAAATGAGCGCTAAAGAAGTAAGAAGGGACTAAATGTGGGGTGGCTTACGAGTGGAACCAATGAAGGGAAGAAAAGGTGCACTTGTTTTGTAAAATAATACACCACTAGCGGAAATTAAAGAAGAAAAAAATATAGGTGAATAAATTGTTGTCTTGTTCTTGCTAATGGGATATAATTTAAAGTAGTGCTTAAAGAAAAATGAAACATTGTTGGGAGTGATTGAAGTTGTGAAATTAAAGTGGATTGAGAAATTATGCGCTTAAAGTTTATCATGCGATGTGTTAAAGTGCTTAGAAGGATTAACCACTATTCCTAAAATATATCCTACCCGTCCCTTAGTCCACATTACAACCATAAAAAAGTCCTAATTGATTTTAGATCGAGTGAGCCTACATTAGTAGAGATTTACATTATGGGCAAGCCCATGGTACCAATTGCATGCATGTGACTTCTTTTGTGAGAGTGAGAGATTTTCTTTGATATATTTGAGTCCTTAAAATATATTTGAGCATTTGATTTGAATGTATGGTTTCAACTTACTCTCCTGCTCTTGTTGTGAGGGCACATGGTCTCACGGGGGATAGGTAACGTAATTAGACTTCTCTCTATGATGTTGGGTGTTCAAGCCATGAGTGCATTGTGAAATTGAGTTGGTTTTTGAGGCTAGGATTTTTATGAGCATGTTGTCTTTGTTTGCATATTTTTGAAGTATGGCATAAGAAAAGGGGAGTGTATGTGATTGCATATGCTAAGGTTTAATTGTTACTATTTGTTGCTATCAACCATGGCCATTGGTGTAGTGTGCCTCAATTGTGTAAAAATAAAGTGTTCAAGGATAGCGTGAATTGTTAGTTGACTCGAGGACAAGCAATATTTAAGTGTGAGGTAGTGATGTTTGGCTATAATTCCGTATTTTTAGTACATTATTTACCGTACATTTAAGTACTTTAATACTAAATTATATTATATTTGTGTTTAAATGAGTCTATTTTATGTGTAGGTACGTTGAATACGAAATTGGGAGTAAAGTAAAGATTTTATGTGTAATTTATGCGCTACAAGAATGACTCGTGATTATTTGATGATGAAAAATATTATAATAAGATAATGAAACAATGATTGAAGACAAATGATTGAAGGCAACGGCAAAAGAAGACAAAATGAAAGAAGCAAAGGAATAGAAAATAAAGAAACAGAAATGAAACGTGAAAGAAGGAAAAGTTATGCAAAGCAAAAGAATTGAAACTAAGCAGAAACAGAAACATGCGTAGTAACGAATTTTGCTCGCGAAATACTTCACGTCCCACAGTGGAAACCGCGCGTCAGAGGTTGCGCCGCCGGGGTATAGCGAGGTGGATAAGGCGTTTTGCCTCGCGAGGCGAGGCCTGTAGCGATGATGTTCCGAATTTTTAAAGCCTATTTTATCTCCTATTTTATTTTGGACTTGGTTATTTCGTTTGGGTCTTTTCCCTACACATATAAATAGTCATTAAACACCATTTTTAGAGAAGAGACCGAGATTAGACCTAGGGAGAGCACGGAGCCGCCGTGGAGGCCGTAATTCATCAGATTCCATCTTTCTTCCATCAAACTTAGTAATCTTTACTTTTTCTTGATGATTTATTGTTTTGCTACCATGTCTATGTGGAGCTAAACTTCACGTTCTAGGGTTGTGGTTTTCATGAATATTGAAGTTTATTAATTATATTACTGTTAATTCGAGTTATCATCTTTGGTTGTTTCTCTAATTTTGTGCATAATTGCTTAATTGTTTGGCCAGTTGTTGAGTTCTATTTACTATCTATGCTATGGTTGGGAAAGACGTGTTTAGATTAGAGTAGAATTGGAGAGAGCTTGTTTCTGAACCCGTGGGCTCGGGGAAAGATTTCGCGGTTAGGATAGGAATATACCTAACAGTCTTGCTTAGTTGAATACCGTATTATATTCATTCATTATAGATTCAAGACCATAGGAATATATGGTTGATATATTATGGATAGACGGATAATATTGTGGGAACATGCTATTTATATAAATGATCCGGTCAACTAGCAATCATAGATAATTTGGATTAACATGTGTAATTATGAACTCAATAGGATTGATAAACCGACCACAATCCTGGAATCTATATCTCCCTTGGTTACGTGTTTAAATTTTGCAATAGTAGTTGTAATAGAAAAATCAAACTCTTGATTATCTTGGACAATTAACTGATTTTAGCTTGCTTAGTTAATCGTTAATCTAAGTCTTTGTGGGTTCGACATCCGACTTTCGAGTCACTTTATTACTTGACGGCCATGTATACTTGCGTGTACTTGGGAACTAACAAGTTTTTTGGTCAACATATTTTTTTGACTTTTTTACTTTGTGACTGAATTAGTCGCAAATATGAAGGGGGAAATTCCCGCGTTGTTTTTCCACCGCTTTAGTCGGAATAGCAGTCAATATTATTTTAGGAAAATAGGTAATAAAAGTAAAATCATTTTCCGATTACTGCAGTCGCAAATTTAGTCGCATTAGTGACCATTCAATATTCAGCCGCAAATTTCGGTGAAATTAACATTTTTCTACTAGTGAAAGCAGTATTTTTAGTAGTGTTGGTCATCTCATCCAGATTGTTTATTCTAAGGCAAAGTGGCATTATAAAACATATAAGTGAACTGGCAACTCTTGAAACTGATCATATAATGTTGAGGCATTTCAAGTTTGTTTTTATGAGTATTGTCTGATTTTATTCCTTTTTGGAATAAAAAGGAATAAGAATCTACAGATTGTCCAATGCTCATGACACAAACCACATATATTATTATCAGCTATATCAAATAGCCCGGGTTCTTCTATTTCTCGACATGGTGAGCCTCTATATCTTTGGTCAGATCAGTGACATATCCCAAGAAAGTTAAGAGGCTCAGGGGTGTCTTCAGTTTTCTTCTCATACACAAATGTCCATGTAATCCAATGCTGATCGCAGGAAATGTTAACAGTGAAAGCGTTATACCGTTCCAAGAGATCTCCTTCTATCCCTTTCCATGTGATTGATTTCTTTTCATCATCCATGACTTCTTCAATGACACACTTAGCAATCTTCTCATTTCCATCTATAATCATTATAAAAAGAGATCACTACAAGAATTTTGACTTTTAACGACCAGTTTTTTACGAAGGGACATGAATTCGGTCGTTATAGGTATATTAATACCGATCACATTTTTTTTCCGGTCGTTAAAATTAATTTTTAGTTTAATATTAACAAAAAAAATATTCGATCCTTAAAATTCATAAATCCGGTCGTTAAAAATAAAAAATAAAAATAACGCTAACGTTTCCCTATCTTTTGCTCAACATCAGCCCACTCACGCCACTTTTCCCTCTTTTTTTGCCCAAACCCATAATTTTCCCACTTTTCTTTCTTTTTATATAGGAATTACAAAGCTAGGGTATAAGTGAAATTGAGCAGTTGAAACTTTGTGAAGCATCAGGCCTTGTGTTCCTCTCTACAACCTAGGATTTCATTCTTCTTCTTCTCAAGGTAAGCTCTAATCTTGTAGTACTATTGTGAAATTGGGTATCTTTTTTATACTCCAATTATCTCTTTGTTTTTTATGTATTGGTTTTTTTATATAATTACATGTACTACAATTTTATAATTATATTCAAATTTTAACATTGCTGATGAATGTACAAGAGTTGCTTTTATTTATTTATTTATTAAATATTGCTCGTTATATGTCAACTGTGTGTATTCTTTTATAGAGCAGATTATTTTTGAACTGGGTTTGATTTTGAATTACATTCAGTTTTTCTGTTGTTTCCATTTTAGCATCCCTATTTCTTCTACTTTTCTTGAACAAGACTATTATTATATGAGAAGTCTAAATTATGGTCTTCAAAATTATTAATTATTTTTGAAGCAAAATTAGGAGAAATCCACTTCCACTAAAAACCATGTCGATATGTATGTGTATCATAGTTATGGTCTAATTAACTATTCTATAGCTAATAAAAGAGAAAGAGTAAAGGAAAACTAACAAAGTTATATCTTAAGCAGAATTTACAGGGTTTGTTTGCATTTAGTTTTGGAAAAGTTTTTCTGTGACCTATGTGTTTCCATTGGATTTCAATAAAATTTATTAAAAGCTTTTCTGTTCTTTTACCCCAAAGAGCTTAAAAATATACTATTTCACTGAATTGCTATACAGTCATGGATGAGATTTATTACCAACATGATGACATATAAGTGAAGCTATACTGATAATTCTGCTAATTGGAGTTTGGTTTGACCTTATTTGTATTGCTTTAAGTACTAAATCATGAGTTAGACTCCATATTTAGAGTCCCTTAGTTTTAAGAATCATGTTAACAGAGAACTTGAAGTAAATGATGACTTTGTTCACGTGCTATGTGCTATAAAATGTTGAAACAATTAGAAAATCACGTCTTATTGTATGAATATTAAGAATGCACTTTTTACTTAAAATATTGGTGAGTGGTGTATTACTAAAGAACATATGGTTTTGGACATAAAAGTTAAGCTTCAGGTGAAGTATTTTGTTAAACTTTAAATCCTCCAATCCTTTTTTATCACATTCTTCCTTCTATAGTATTCTTTCTCTTCAGTTGTACAGTATATCTGTATCATATTCGTTTAAAATGAAGATTGCAGAAGCACTACTAATAAGGGGTAGTTTAGAATTTAATATTATTCCTCATGCTTTGAGCTCATTTTTCCTGATAATTTGCCTTTCCTTTCCTTTAATTTGAATATTCAACTGAGGTGAATTATTGGCATTTGTAGCTGATAAATGTTTGAATTAAATGTTTCTAAGACAAAGCTATAGTTTGATATAGGATAGTGTTGATTATACCTAGATTTACCTGATATGTTACATAAAAGAGTTGAAGTATTATGTAAAAGTTTATGTGTTTTGTAGTACCTTCTTGCTACTAGCTCTAATAAATTGCCACCTTTAGCAAAATAAAGAAAATTAAAATATGTTTAGTTACCCAGACTACAAAGTATATTCATCTTTATTTTGCCTGTCCATGCAAAGTTTAAGTTAAAATTGAAAGTAGTATGGGCATGCATGCTGCACAAATAGAGAAAGGTATTATGAAGAATGTTTGATACTGAATTTTACTTTAACATCTGGAACTGTATAAATTAAGAAGACCTTTTTTAAAATTACCCTGATAAAGTCCTGCATCTACAACCATATTGTTGTTCATTTTATTACAAGCCCTTGATTCTCAAGACGAGCTACTCATTAAGATTTGGAACAACTTAACTTGAGAATATTATAATGTATCTATTCTCGTGTTACTACTTGCCATTGTCTTTTATTTCGATTTTCTGATTGCATTACCTATTGCTAGTTTTGTATTTTCGCTTCGGTGTCAAATCGGTTTGCTTGTTATTGCCCCTCCCCTTTTTCCTTCCTGAGCCGAGGGTCTACCGAAAACTGCCTATCTGTCTTCTTAAAGGCAGGTGTAAGGTCTGCATACACTTTACCCTCTCCATGCTCCACTTGTGGGATTACACTGGGTATGTTGTTGCTGGTGGTGGTGATGTATCAGTAAAAATTATTATTCCTTATGGATGTCATTGCCTTTAGATTCCTCTCTTCTAATAGATAACACTAATACTTTCGTTATAGTTGTATATTGACTAGATTTTAGATATTTTTTATGTTGCTACATTTACTCTTACAATGGTTTTCTGTATTGTCTAGTTATGATCTTTCGCCAAGGGATAGTGTATATAGAGAGTTTTCTCTGTTAGAAGTTATAGAGATGGAGTGTATTGCCTTAAGAGAACAAATAAAAGATAGAGCATTCTTTAGTTTCTATACCAAGATAAGATTCTAAAGGTAATTTAAGGTACTATTTTCTTAATCAACAATCACACTCTAAGAGCATCAATACAAAGTAAATTCTGTTTTAGTTTTCCTGATTTGTAGCTTATTTATAAAATCGTTACCATAACATATTTTCAATTATCAAGATTACTAGAAATTTAACATATTTATTCATCCTTTATTGTAAAACTATTAAGGCTATTACTTAGGTTATAGGCCAATGAAATGGTTGATGTGAGAAATTGTTCAAATGGATTATAATAATAGTCTTCGAAAATAGATTTACTAATATTCCTTAGTAAGGGTGAATAATATGATTTTGTTCGCTTGTGTTCACTTCTTGTTTATTGCTATATTAATATTTTTTGGTTGAATATATATGTATATTAATTTTGTGCATGCACCAGATTATGGCACCTGATAAGCAATGGATGAAACTTATTCATGATCGACTTGATAACGCTTACATACTTGAGGTGGAGAATTTTCTGGATTATGCTTTTGAAAGATTGGGAGAAATACACGAAATATGTTGTCCATGCGTCAAATGCTGTAATGCAATTTCAGGAACACGTGAGCTGGTTAGGTCACATTTAATAGTACACGGAATAGTCCAAAATTACTCTCTCTCTCCAATGATCTTATCTCTATTTCTTTCCTGTTACACTTATTATTATCTCTCTTTCTACCTCACCATTTTTAGTAGAAACTAGAATACCCACAAAGCAGAACAATTCTGTCATATCATTTAAGCTCTGAGCCTGCAATTTTCTTGAAATAACTAAAGGGTACTCTACTTTTCTTTGTTCTTTTCTATAATTTTCTGCTTTAGCTTCTAGCTTTATTTCCATTTGAATTATTGCCTTCTTTTTATTTCTCTCTGTTTGTTTCTTGATGATAAAATCACGAGCTTTGTTGGTTAGTATGTTGTTGTTATAATTATTGTTATTATGGTTACTAGTAAAATGCTACAACTATTATAACTATTATTGTTATGATTATGATTTTTTAGTTATTATTTTCTCTTTGTAAAAATTGGAGCTTTTGGTTTCTTTTCTTGATCTACTATGAGTAGCTTCAAATTGCTCTTCTGGTAATTTTTTTTATCTCTTTGCATGTTACTTCTAGTAATCTTTGTAATCAAATGACAATTAAACTCTTCATGGCCTTGATACAATCTTGGGTATTTAAAATGTCATATATATTTCATACCTTGGATAAGAGTTTAAAAGATTTTAAGCTATTATTGAGATCTTCTTCCATAGTTGAGAAGACATTAGTTGGAAAGAAATGGAGAATCTGCTATTCTATCTAATATCTCCACACTTTTAAAGAATATGGCTTCAAGACTTGAAACTTAGAATGCTATACGGAGTCCTCCAGTCGTATAATCATAAATTAAAAAATTACGCATTGTGGTGAAAGACATGTTGCACTAGCCATCTTGCAGACAGACTTAAGGTTTTCTTTTCTTAAATGCTTGGTCATTGTTCTCCCTTTAATAAGTACTAGTTTATTTTTTCGTAAGCTGGTGGCAGATTGCCAAATGGTATCCAAGAACATTGGTTAAGATTCATGATGTTTGTTTTGGTTTTGTGTCGGGGAAAATTTTGGAAAGGTGAAAAAGTGTATTTTGGGTCCAATAATAATTTGTAATTTGGTATAAGTTAGTCTGGTACTTGGCTAGAATTTAATTGAACTTATCACTTCTTTGGCTAGTCAACTTACTTCTCGTGAATATGGTTATCTATCTGTGCATTCAATAATTTAAGGTGTTATCTGTTCATTTTCCCTTTAAAGTGTTTATTTTCTTCTTTAGTTATTTATTCTTTGATACGAAACTCGCATAAATTTGTTATTTAAACGGATCAAAAATTTAAAATCCGAAGAACCTATATTTGAAGAAAGTGTAGAGCAAGTTGAAGTTCAAGAGGTTTTTGGTTCGTCATCGATGGTTTAAAGACACTGTCTTATGTATATATGTTACAATTTTATTTTTATTCTTTTTAGGAATTATTTAAAATGATGCTTAACTCACCTCACTTTATGCTTCTAGTTGTCTCCTATCTGGGTTTGCATTATTTTTACTTTTCATAATTTTAGCAAGATGGGTTTGTTACAATTTGGATTGGTTTCTCGTAAATATGATACTTTAGTTCTTTGTATTAACAAGATATCAAGTATTTGGTTTATTTTCCGATGTTGTTAAGCGTGTATGAAAGCGTATAAATAATTATTACTATTCATATAATTTAAAAAATTTTAATTATATTTATTACATTTTCATATTAGCGAAGAAAAATGTGGTCATTAAAACTCTTTAACGACAGGCTTCTCAAACAGATAAATGACTATTAACGAAGAGAATATTGGTTATTAAAAGTAATTATACAATTAACGAAGGGAATATCGGTCGCTAAAAGCACTCGAATTGACATAGTACATTGTTGTTATTAAAGACTTTTAACGTCTGGATAACAAATTAGCGAGGGGAAAATCATGTCGCTAAAAAGCATGTATAACGGCCGAAAATTACGTCGTCGCTAAAGATCCTTTAACAACCGGTTACAATCCGGTCGTTAACTTTTAACGTCGGGACTTTTAACGACCGGTGACGACCGGATTTTTTTGGTCGTTATTAACTTATAACGACCGGAATTGGACTTTTAACGATCAGATTTCCTCTCGCTAAAGTCCCATTTTCTTGTAGTGGATCCAAAAATATAAAGAGGCGTTAACCCTAGCTCAACTTTTACAAAAATAAATAAATAATCTAGTATTTGGTTTTAAAGTTCTTTTTTTATTACACAAGGGAAAGGGGAAGGTGAAGGTGAAAGTGAAGGTAGACAACAAGATTCCTCTACATACTTATTGCTCCTACGTGAGAGACTTTAATCGATAATACTAGGGTATGAGTCTTGAATCTTGATAATCGTTATTTCATTTATTATGTTTCTTCTCACTTTTTATATTTTCTTTTTCTCTAAAAGTTATGAGAAATTCAGTATAAATGGAATTTATGTAGCTGGTCCTCCAAGAATGTTGTTGTAACTGTGTCAGATTCTCCAAAAATGAATAACTTTGGAAGAGCCAACACAAAATCCATGACACTTTTGAAGAATCCGGGTAACATAGACCGTAAAAATGTGAGACAATATTGGAACATGCATATATGAGAAATTTTACTATTTGAGTCACATAACCAATATTACTTATGTGAGTCTTGTTTATTCCTTGACAAATGAACTCATGTTCCTCCTTACTTATATATTACAAGAAAAAGAATGGAATTTCATTTATGTTGAAAATTCATCAAATCGAATCATATAAAGGGAATAGATTTTTGTTCTTACCCTCCTTATATTTCCAGGTAACTACAGAACCAACCTCTCCAATCCCGCCTTCATGAAGATCAAAACCTGTGACCTTATTGGGGCTTATGTTGGATACATGATGAGGTTTGGTTTGATAAAGGTCATGAAATAAGTGTCCTCCACATTTCACCTCCATTGAAACAGCCAACTTGCCTTTCAAACCCATATTTTCTTCTTAGGAATAGCAACAGATAGTGATAAGAAAGCAAGTCTGTTAGAAAATATTCAGAACTTGTAGTCCTTATATAGAATTAATTATCCATGAAAAGCTTCTAAATAAAATTGGACAAAGACATATATTTGACAAAGGAGTTTTTTCTTATTCTTTACCAACGATTTCTTTGTTCATTAACTTATGAGAGCTACTATCATGATTTCTAGGAATAATGTGTTTGCGTTCATAAATGCGATACGAACATAAATGGGTGGGCATTTGGAGGATTAATTTCACACACGGTCACTAAATATTTTTTTTGGGGTATCAATAAAGTCACAAAATATTCTGTCTCACGATTAAAGTTATTAAACTTTACTATTTGTACCAGTAAATTAAAATTACAAATTTATTTTGGTTTTATTAAAGTCATAAAACTATGTACTAGTTGCTCGAAAAATACAACTCATCAGAAAGTCAATAAAATTTTAAATCTTAACGAATTTCGAGCGAGTCATTTTCCAGTTATTCATTTTAATAATTTTGCCAACTTGATACTAAGGTTAACATCCGAATCCAGAATTGCTATTAGATTTACGATGTACGTAAACTAACCCAAACCATTTCACTATTTGTCCGTTGAAAATCCCAAACAGATTTTATTCTTGGAAAAATAATTTACATACTGTTTTCTCTGACTTTCCAAAAGAAATTTAGTTAGAAGTCGATCTACCAGTGCAGCACTTAAGCTTAAGTACTTAAATATCAATTGTAATATTTACACTAAAATTGATAATTTAAAAAGATAAATAATTAACTTGCTGCAATAATTGTAATTTTTTTATTAAACCATCAAGAATACGGATCCGGTTCTATTCATGAGGGTCTTGGTCCAAGTTGAAATTCCATGTTTGCTAGTCTTAGGGTATAGTTAGTTCGATAGGCTTACTTAGCTCTAAATAAAAAGATAAATTCTAGATTTGAAATTTTTCGGCGAGTTATTTTAGTGCCGAAAATTTGATTTTCTGTTGAGTTGTGCTTTTCAAGTAATTAACACATAATTCAATTATTTTAACGAGATATAAAATAGTTTTGTAACTTTGGTGAAAAATTCAAAAACTTACCAGATTTTCAAGTGGTAATTGAAAAATAGTCACAATTTCAAAAGTAATCGAAATTTAACCACTTTTCATGTAAAGATAAATTTGAACGAAAATATTATTTAAATTACGGAAAATATTCCAGCATAATATACTCGAGTTTCAGTATAATATACTGGTCAAGCATAATATGCTGGAAGTTCATACACATGTGCTCCAATCTCCAGTATATTATGCTCGAACTTTCCTCGTGTTGGAGTTCCAGCATAATATGCTGGAAGTTCATACACAGGTGCACCAATCTCTAATATATTATGTTGGACCGGTCCGTATTGAAGCAAAATAATAGCTATTTTTCAATAATTTTGCAAACGCTGGCTATTTTTCAATTACAAGTCCGAAAACTGGCTAGCCCGTACTATTTTTACTAAATAAAGGTATGTTACTTTAGTAAGACAAAAAATAACTCTATAGTTTTACTAATACAAAAGGTAAAGTTTGATGACCCAAAATATCATCTTTAAATTTAATAAGTAATTATGTGTTCTAAGACCTCGAAAAGCACTATTTATCATTCATCGACTTGCGTGCGTAGTCCGTATAATTTTTTGGAAAGTTTTTATGTGAAAGATGGATTAAAATGTGCAATGGAGTTTTAAAACTCAACTGAGTTGACTTTGATCAATATTTTGAGCAAACGGACTCGAATCAGTATTTTGACAGTTCCGGTAGGTCCGTATCGTGATTTGGAACTTGGGCGTATGCTCGGAATCGAATTCTGAGGTCCCTAGCCTGAGATATGGAATTTTGATAAAAAATTAAAAGCTTGAAAGCTTAATGATTTTTAAGAATTTACTGATGTTAGATTTATTGACACCGGATCCGTATTTTGGTTCTGTAGTCCTGTATAGGTCCACTATAATATTTATGACTTGTATGTCGAATTTGGTGAGAATTGAAGTTAATTTGACGTGATTCGGACGTCCGGTTGTGAAAATATAAGTTTTAAAGTTTTCTTGAAAATTTCCTTTGATTTGGTGTCTGATTCGTAGTTCTATGTGTTATTTTGGTGATTTTATCATGCGAGCAAGTTCGTATGATATTTTCGGACTTGTGTGCATGTTTGGTTTGAAGCCCCGAGGGCTCGGGTGAGTTTCGGATAGGCTACGAGATGATTTTGAACTTAGAAAATCTGATTTTTAGCTTCTGCTGTCATCTGGTGTTTTGTGCTTCGCGATCGCGAAGCCATTCCTGCGATCGCAAAGAGGAAAGTTGGACTGGCACAATTGTGCTTCGCGTTCGCGACCGAGGGCACGCATTCGCGAAGGGTCGAAGTGCAAAGCTTCGCGTTCACGGTCGAGTCCTCGCGTTTGCGAAGAGGAAATGAGGCAGAAGATGGGGTACTCAAATTTGTTCTTCGCGTTCGCATGAAACGGTCTGCGATCGCGTAGGTTTACGGTGTTATGCTTCGCGTTCGCATGTGTGATGTCGCGTTCGCGTAGAGCAAAGTGGCAGCCGTACAAAAAATGTGTTTCGCGAACGCGAAGCCATTCCCGCGTTCGCGAAGAGTAAAATAAACCTCGGTAAAGTTGTTCTACACGATCGCGTACAAATTTTCGCGATCGCGATGAATAAAAGCTAAAAAACAGAACTTAAGTTCTAGAAATGGGATTTCGACCCATTTTCAACCATTTTTAACTTTTGAGCTCGGGTAAGGTGGTTCTTGGGAGATTTTTACGGGAAAGCATTGGGGTAAGTGTTACTTATCCTATTTTGATTATATTTCATGATTTCATACTCATTTACATCATGAATCCGTGAATTTATGGGGAAAAAATCAGATTTTTATAAAATCTTCCAAAAATAAAAATTTAAGATTTGAATGTCCATTTGACATCGGAATTGGATAATTTTTGTATGGTTGAACTCATAGCGGAACGGGTGTTCGGATTTCATGAGTTTTTCCGGAATTTGAGACATGGGTCCCATTATCGAATATTTAAATAAATTTCGGATTTTTATCCGAAAAATTATTAAATTCATATGGAATTAATTCCTATGATTCGTATTGAGTATATCGAATTGCTTGAATTTCAGCTACCGGAGGAGACTTGAGGTATAACTGCACGGCGTCCGCAGTTCTGAAGTACCTGTCTACTTTTCTTTAGCTGTTTGTTTATTTCCAGACAATTTTATTTTATTTAGACCCTTATTTGTATTATTTTAGAAGTTCGTGCACTTGTAACACCAATTCTGGGATGGTATTTAGACACCATTATTTTTATGGATTATTCACTATATTTCAGACCTTACTTCCGCATTTATTTCTTTGTTATTAATAAATTTAAAAATTATTTTAAAATGGCTAATATTATTCTAACATTGGCTTGCCTAGCAAGTGAAATGTTAGGCGCCATCACGGTCTGAAGGTGAGAATTTCGGATCGTGACATAAAATTTAGTGACCATGTGTAAAATTAACCCACACACGGATTGCCCACCCCATAATTTCCATAAACGCTTTGGGTGATGGTTCAAAACACTTTCTTCTTAAATTTTCTTTTGAGTATTATTTGTACGATACATTTATTGCAGTTTCCATGCTTTTTATACATATCTTAATTTTACTTTTATTTATAAAAAAACTTTGAAATACATTTTTACCTTATTATATGATAGGTGAAACATCGCACCTCTAGCCCTGCGCTTAAGACACAAAATCTAAAACTAAAAGTTTATAATTATTCTTGTAATACCTCGAAAAATTTCATTAACTTTTAATGTATCTTAATGTTTGAGAGGCTCTATATAATTTGAGATTTTTAGAAGTTGTTTACATATGAGATATAAACGAAATAGGAAATGGAACTGTGATATGTAATACGTACAAGGTCAACTTTTAACGATGGATAAGTTTGAGTCTCAGACTACGGATTACAGAGATTTAAGGATCGCATTATATCACGATGTAGTTGGATTTCGGTAACGAACTAAAGTATTAAAAGTACATTTTAAACGACGAATAACTCGGGGTCTTATTTAGTATAAAAGAGAAAGATAGACTTGTGAAATGATCTAAAATAAACTATAAATATTTGTGTAATTATAAATTATCTCATTCAAGGTAACTAGTAGGGGTGTTCAAACCGAATTGGAAAATCGCACCAAACCGAAAAGTCAAACCAAACCAATTAAAAACCCCGATTAGGTTTGGTTTGATTTGGTTTAGTATTGAGTAAAAAAATTCGAACCAAACTGACATATAAATATATAATTTTATATATACTTTTAAAACTTTATATATAATTTTCTATAAAAAAATGTCTAAAAATATTTGGGATCCTCTCCTGAGATGTAATATTTCGTAGAACTATGAAGTGCATTCATTTTTATTTGCTTTAAATAATGGGTTGTGTCACTTTATTATCAAGTGTTATTGAAATGCGTCAATTATTTCTTTATTCTTCCATATTCATATGTCAAGATTTCTTATATCTTTTTTGAATTTGAAATCGTACAACAACAATAACAAACCCAGTATACTCCCACACGTATTTCGAATTTGAAATGGTATTTCGATAATTTAAAATTAAATAAAATATATCATTATTTTGGTATCATGTTGATTTTAATGTTTAATTATTAAATTCGGTTAACCTTGAAAGCTTGCATCAATAAAAAAAATTATTGTTAGACGACTAAGAAAATAACTAACATGTGTTACTAAAAAACTTCTCCCATAGAAATATGTTAATGGATCATATATATGTTTGTCAATTTTTACTAAACATATATTCACTTATCAAAATATTATCTATAACTTTAACAAAGTAAAATTGAAATAATATTCATGCAACAAAAAAGTTCGAAAAACTCGACAAACCGAACCAATCCAAACCAATATAGTTGGTTTGGCTTTGATAAAAATTGAACTAACCCGGTCCATGTACACCCTAGTAACTAGCATTTTAAAATTTATTATTACTAAATATAAAATAATGTTACTCTTTAGAGATTGACTAAG